CGACTGAAATTGTTGGTCTCTGATGACATGGCGGCTCCTAGTAGGGATAATCTGACTATGCCTAAGGATCAACATGATGTTATTCGGTGGATTGCGACTAGCATTAGAATCAGGTTTCATTTCGCATACGGGTTCCACTCCACTTGCTGAGTGAACCTAATGAAACAGTACGCTTTCATACACTTAAAGACCAGCACATGTGAAAAACACGTTCTGGGCAGCTAAGTCGTATAATTTAATTCTAGACCAATATCCAGGCATCAGTTTTCAATTATTATTCCGATCACATACAGAGTAAGCATAAACAAAATTATCAGTATTAATTTTAAGAATATACATTCCACTAATTACTAATAAACCTCTTATCATGTTCATGCTAATTGTGAGCTTGCACGTCTTTGTAACAAAATATGAAAAGCATCAGAACTATGGGGAGAGAGTTTAGCAAAGGAATAATTGGAATGTACTAGAAAGTGTTGAAGTGTTTACAGCAATTTTAACACAAATAAACAGTGATCATTACAAAACAAAGATAGGCATCTGACTAGAAGTTTCACTCTACCACAACCAATTTTATGCACGCGTGGGTGTGGTTTGTACAGGCAATGCTATCCAGTGCTTTGTGAAAATGTCTGAGTATGGATGAATCAAACAATTATATTCAATAATTTGCTAGCATTTAATTACTGTTAATTAAATCATGTATAAAAGATGAATAATTAGCTGCTATAATATTAGTTTCCACTGCCAGAAATTATTGTCTGAACTGATTGGGAGGATTGTCTATCTTTCTTTAATATGCCATTAAATTACTTCACTAATCAATAAAGTTAAATGAATTTCGTATGAGTCCTTAGTTAGGCATACCTTGGCGATTGGGGGAACGATTGGAGTCTTTATGATCGTTGTACAACTGGCTTCATTTGGACTTATTCTAGAACGAGGCGCATTATTTAGTTAACATTTCATGCTACCTTGGTGAAGTAATAATAGCAATAAAAAAGATGACAGACTTCTAATACTGGTTACTGATTTAGTTAGTTGCCTCAAGTGATGATAATCTAGTGTAAACAGATGACTTTATCTACCTCCAACAAAATTTCTTAAAGAAAGTAATCAATTCATATGGGTTTAAAAATAGATTTCCTTGTCATAATTTGTTGCTTTTCGAGTGTCACTGTCTTCATATTTTTCAGTGAAATTTTCATCAGCAGTTAATAATAATTTAGTGTATGCTTAGGGAAGGAAATAAGTGATTTTTCATTTTTTTTCCATTTTGAATGTGTTCTATTTTTGCATTAGTTGCATTCATTATACTTTTTTTTCTCTCTCTCTCTCGCTCTCTGGTTATTTCTGCTTTTATTGTTTTTGTCGGTATGCATTTTGGCGCTTCCACTTAAAAAGAAGAAATAAAGCGTAAGTGAACACGAAAAGACTAAAAATTTGCATACATCTGTCTAGTTTAAGGAAACAAAGTAAGCAAAAAGAGACAACCTTAACGTACATATGTGTACATTAAAAGGAAAGAGACACGATGATACACGAGAAAAACTAGTCAGTTGATTGACACAACACTGAAGATGTTATAGAGCCTTTAGTAAGTTGGATACTCACCAAGCAACAAAAGAACAATAACCTTATGTGAGTATTCTTTCCTTCTGGTTGATTTTTAGCGAACAGTAAAGCCTGATATTCAAAAAGTTGGCGAGACAGCTCAGATGATTTAAATTTAGTCTACAGATTCATTCGTTAGTGGCGAAATCAGTCACTTTCTTTGTACGACTATTACAATTTCTTATTAAGCATTCAAATTTCTAGTACTATTTAGTAGGTTTTCTTTACATTTGAAAAATTGATCTACTGAATTATGATTTTCTTTCTTTCACGACATTCTGAATTACAGGTTATATTGCTTTTTATGTAGACAAGCGGAATATAATAAGAGTTTGCCAGGGTAATCTAGATACATTTACGCTACTGAAGACAAGAACAAGTTCTATCACTTTTATATTTACACATTTATTTATGTAATATGCTGGTAGTCTAGTATTGTGAACTTATCCCTGTTGAACTTATAAATATTGAGCTACTGAAGACAACTGTGTCATGTAATAAATGTTTTCAGAGAATTATGTCTTATCTCAATGAATCAACATTCGTAGGATGAAAGTCAAGTAAATACTCATCACCTAGTGTGTGTGTGTGTGTGTTCATACGTGGTACAGTTGTATACTGTCTTATGATGAATAACTTAAACAGGTTAGGTGTTCGTTCTTATTTCGTTACCAATTGTTTTCCTAATTATATACATCTGAAAGCTGCTCTTTAAATGAATCAGTAAACAGCCATATTGGTATCTATAAGATTGACGTGACCATCTTTTAGTTATGTTACTTGATAAGTTTCCTTTTACCGAGGACTTGTCATTAGTGTGTCGTGTGTTGTCAAAGGAACGAGCGACGCTGCCAATTACTAAGCGTTATCTTTTAGGTTATTTAGTCATGAAGGCCATATCTTACTTGAAGCAGACATATAGTATGATTTGTTTATGTTTGTATTTGGCATTCAGAAAACTGACTCAAACATATTTAAGTTAATTTATGAACGCAAAGAGCATTCACTAATGCTTAAGGAATTCTGTAGACTGTACAGTAAGACGCTATAACAGTTAATACAGTCAAAAACTGTCACTGCTCAGCATACTGCATATTATTTGAAGCGAGTACTTGTTCCGATTCCTAGTGAAAGGATTAATTTGCCTGCAGGTATGGTGTAACAAGATGAAGGGTGATCCTTGGATTCCCCTGCATTTCACCTTTACGTGCATCAATACGGCTGAAAAATCTTATTTATTATGGGTCAATTATCTACCATGTGTTGATAAACATGTCTTGTTTTGTAAATCCTCTAACTGAATGACTGAATACAATGTAAGTGTGAGTATTCACAAACACAAACTTTTATGTGTTGGGTGTTAAACTTGTCTCCCGATTTTTAACTAAGATTAGATGACTGCTAATTAGATCAATAGATTTGTTCAAAGAAAAAAACATCTATTTCATCAAGTTTCAAATTACTCTTCTCTGATGAATACGGGACAAACCCAAGACCTAGGTTCAACCTGGGACTTTGCTGACTGATTTCAGGCACCCAACTTAAGACAGTTTAGCTCAGTGATAAAATTACTCCAGAAATTATAGACTGGGAATCTCCAGTTTATTTGCAAACAGATGTGATTATACATTACAATGGATAGAAATGTCGATAACAATCGCGATGTTCTAAATTCTTCATCGGTCAATACTCATGTTCTCAAATAACACAAAGGTTACCCGCTGTTCAACAGCCATGTAAATTACTAGTGTAAATTTCAGTGACTGCTATTTTAAAAAATCACTTTATGAATAATATCATAGTTTTTCCTTACCATATATGTTACCTCTAGAAATATCACTGATTTCATCTCAATCGTAACTATTGGATTCTAGCTTATCCGTGTCTTCTTTCGCGTTTTATTGATGAAATGTAACTAATTAGTAGGAGCCTTCATCGATTTTTGTTAGCCGATTCGCTGTAGTTTACTGGTGTACGTAGTGCATCCTGTTTTTTTAATAACAACTGTTTCAAACTTGCATACAGGTCCTCTTGTTTGAGGTAGTATAAATCGCCTTCAACAGGAATAACACTTGGAAAGATATTGAAAGTTCGAGGTCATTTAATAGTCGTTTTTGTACGATTTATGCGCTAAACTTTGTTATGTTGTGGCCTTGAGTGTTATATATATATATATATATATATATATATATATATATATATATATATATATATATTACTGCATACAGTTCACGTAAATTAATTAGAAAGGAGTCAGACTAATCAGGGTTCTCACTTAAGGTATTTAAAGAAAAATATTTGATGCAAGAAATTAACAGATGAATATTATTGACTACCTATTAGAAAGGGATTACACAGGTTTTGAAACTTTTCCTAGTACCACTGATTACTTACAAGAACTACCATACAATGATGAAAGTATCAACGAAGCTACTCTAAGTCTATACTGAGTAGTGATAAGAAACCAAATCTATTGCTAAAGTATGTGAATAACTAGAAATTATTCTTATTTACATGAAAGTCTGGTGTCAAAACAGCCTAAACTGTGGAGATCTATTTACACATCTGAATCTTAGATGATAAGGTATGCATTAAGATAGATGAAGTAGACACTGCCAAATAATTCAGGCCATCTAGATTTCACCAGCTGATTTGGATGAATTTGTACACCTGTGGGCACTTGCAAGTACTAGCTAACAGCCCAAGTTTGTTGTGAATTATTAGCAGAAGTTATAATAGTGCCAATAAGAATAGTAAAAAATGTGGTAGTTAATAAAAGTAGTAACAATTGTAATAATTATCCCCTTAGTGAGCAGTAACATTTGTAGACATTACAAATGGTAACCATGATTTTGCATAGTTTTCAACAAAAGTCCGAATTAAAGCACAGTTAGCTAATTAAAATTCACTTCACAACAGAGTATTACAAGTCTGTCAAGCATTTTATTTCCTACTTTGATTCAGATTTTGTATCACCGAAATTTATTGTGATTCTCCTTTGGAATAAGAAAAAGATAAGGTTGGCAAAGATCCTAGTGGTGCTCACTGTGCTATCGATTAAAACATGAATTATTTTACAGGGATCATTTCACGTAAGGGTAGAATTTGTGAATGATGCAACGCTTATCTAGAAAATTGCACTAAGAATCAAGAGGGATCAAAAGCAATATAAAACAAGCTAAAAAGTCATACAAATTTACTGATATGACTATGAAACGTCATCCAGTTTCTGAGTACTGTATCACTGTTTTTTTATATCACAGAAATGTATCTAGTATGGAATTCAGGCAAATAAACCCTGTTGAACACATTTACAGCTTTTATTTTTACTAAAAGATATTTTCCAAAAATAGTGATATTGAGTAAGAGAAAAAAGTGTCACTCACTTTTGAGTCACAGGTGATCTTCTCTTTGCATAATTCACATGCATGACTAAAGTTATTCTCATAACACGCAACACAATATGGCTTTTCATCATTTAATATATACCTTTGTCCAATTAATGAGAGATTACAATTGGAACAATTGAATGTTTCATTTGCACTAACAATAACTTCTTCCGACATTGTAAAATTTCTCTTTAAATATATAAATATCGATTCTTGATGAGGAAGAATGCAGAACAGGAAAACAGGGAATTTATTGTCAATAGAAGTCTGTCTTTTTTCAGATGAATTGAATTACGAAAATTTGATTGTGTTGATGACCGACTATTGAATATTGTAAAAAATGTAGACTGAAAACTGAATTTTTAATTTTTCTTCTCCAAAATACCTTATATTTTGACTCTTATTTTTATCCAATAAACAGATACTGAAAATGAAAAAGGAAGAGAACATGATTTAGGTTAGAAGTTTTTCCATAATATAGAGATAAATATGACACTACTAGGGATTTACGCGTGTATATATATGTGTGTGTATAGTGATGAGTTGCTGAAGTCGTTTAGCAATACACCTCCCACTTATCGATGACACGTATTTGAAAATTTAAATTTACCTTCCTTTGACTCACCTAAAATCACGTAAGGATAAATGGAGTGCACAATGATTTTGAGTCAGTCAGCCTAGTGAGCATTAATCAATTGGTTTCAGTCACACTTCGATAAGCTCTTGCTTTAATTCTCCATATATCCAATTCCTTTTACAAATCACAACAAAGTGAACGAAATCTATTTTAAGATTTAATGCGATATCACTGTATTTCGTTGTCAGCGTTTAGAAAGAAATATAAATTTTAACATACTTCACAAATTTAAATATTCAGTAATACTCATATCATAATGTGAAATATACAGCTAAAATATAAGGCATCTAGAAAACTACAGGTACTACTCAGAGATACAGAATTGATACCGGACTGGTCTGGGGACTGGGGGACTTGAAAATATTTGATATTTGATGTTCTATTAGTAACTGACTCTAACAAGCCTTTAGGCAACTGGGAAGTAGATGACAAAATACTACAATATCATAGTGTACCATAAGATTCACTATTCTTTTCTTTTTCTTTTGTGATGAGTTTTAGTGGATGGGGAACGTTAGTCAGAACCGTTCATTTGAATAACGAGTTGAAGCAACAATTAATTACATGAGGAGACAGTTTCTTAAAAGACTTGGGAATTTACGATTTATAGTTTTTGAAAGTCCATATGTCGTGAACCAAAATAACGTGAATTGATCTTGACAAATAAAAACAGCTACACTTCATCAATGTTTATTTTTAAAATCAACCAGAAACCAAATTAATCGATACCTGTCGTTTCATTTTTTTATGGTTTAGTAACTGTAACGATTTATATTTTAATGCATAAAGTATATTCATTTATTGTAACATTTTAATTCAAAATTTTAAAACAGTGAAACATGATTGTTTTATTTTATCTGGCTAAAAGATTTCATGGAAATTTAAATTCATAAATAGTCAGTGCTACAAAGATATGGTAAATGTAATATTCCTTGTCAGTTGGGCTTGGAAGGGGGAAGAATTAATTTCAGTTTCTTCGTTGAAGTATATAGGCGATGATATTAGCCAAACAGTAGTCATCAGTTCAAGCTTAGAATTAGACCAATTGTGGGAGACTAATATTCCTTGTACTCAGTAAATTAGAACCTGATTGGTATTAGCATTTAACTTGGGATTTTGTATAATCATTTAAAGCTACCTAAATCTATTCATTAAAGTGGATCACATATACTCCATTTCATTTTGTTTTAATCACCCAATTATGTCTTTGAATAGCGACCTATAGTCACGAACATTTTCCAATAGACTTCTAACTACCGCGATGAGGAATGGAGGAAGGATGTAGTGGAATATTAGGGAATGCTTCAGATGGAACAATTTTACTGCAGATGATGTATTATCGATTTTTATATTAGTTTAAGACGGAGTAATTACCCTAGAACGAAACACACTGAAAACTCTTTGTACTGTGTTTAAATTCAATTTTTAAAATAAAGCAATTATTAATATAGTAATTATCATTAAAAGAAAACAAACGAAAATTTGTTAATACAGGTTAGACATTTTATTCTAAATATTCAATTAAGAGATTAATTTGAGATTAAGAATTATTTTTCAGCATTAAATAGATGCAAATAAAATCCTTTACAGGAAGTCGAATTCCGTCCATTATTTCACTCACTTATAAATATTGTACCCCTATGTTACGTCGTATTTATCTACCAAATATGAAGTCTGGCTACAAGCAATGGTTGATAGAAGTTAGGTGGCAGTTGGATTTCATGACAAAAAGACAATATAGTTAGTTATAACGACAATTGTAAGTTAGCACGTTGTAATATTACCTTATTAATGTGACGTCTGCAATGGCCAGTAAACTAGTATGCTTATCCTGACCTTAACTCCAGTGCATTAATGAATCAGAAGTAGACTTGAACATGATGAATCATATAAGGACGTAATGTGGTAAATATTTGGAGACAGAATTAAAGTTTTCAGGGAACCACCCTAGAAGAAAGTAGTTTCCGTACACGTTGGCTGTGCAACACTGGAGGCACAAATAACTTAACTATTTTGAGATGATAACTGTTAAAACGTTTAAACTAAGGGTAAACAGTTTCCGTCAAAGCGAAAACGACTGTGTACTTTATTCGGCAATCCTTTCGTGTATGTAGTACAGTTACAGTTACATTTACTGTTATGATAGTTGACGTTTTAGCAGTTTAACATAGGTTGAATTTCTTCAAGAAATGAGGCTTCGACATTACTTTAAGTGTCATCTCGAGAATGTAGCGATTATCTGAACAGTGAAAAATCTATATTTCCAACTCTAATGCTGAATTATGTTTCAGAAACCCTTTCAGCTACCCTCAATATGTATAGCAAGCCGAGACGTCTGCATGAATCCTTCTAAATTGAATACATTTGCGGTCTAATCTCGTTTTAAACAAATCAACAGAACCTTTTAGTTATACAGGCTCCGATAGAGAATCCTGCTAGTTCACAATTCAGTACGAGAAGTGGATAACAAGCGATAACAATCAAACTACTGTTTGAAATTTAGGGTCAATTATATAGGGAAAGTTTAATGGATGGTTGATCATAAGAGAATTAAGTGTTTTCTGAAGACGAAGTTAATTTCATTATTCATGAGTAAAATCTGTTAAAGTGGTTAGGACTCTCGCCGACCATGCACATGGTCTGGGGTTCGAGCCCGCACCGACGCACACCTGATATCTATGGTCGGCCTGCAAAATTTGGGCTACCGATATCCATGCTGAAAATTCCATACTTGTACCAAAAATACAGTGTGGAATCAAGCTGTAAATCAAAAAAAAAAAAGAATGTTTCTTTCCGCATACTTAATGTACCATATATGAAGGTATATGCATCTGATAAACGTGAGTATATGGTATGAATTTTAACATTAATAATCTATTGGTTGAGCTGGACACTCTGAAAGCTTGGAAAACAAGAAAAACGTAACAGTAGCTGATTACATTGCCTTGAAAAGCATGACGAATGGTCGAAAGGTGTCTGCACATGCTTAGTAAAATGGTTCCCCCCAAAATATCAAATTTAGTGAAAGTGACACCAGCAAGAAGATATAGGTTAATAATGACCTCCTTATAACAGTAAGTAGATCACTTCCTAGAGCATTTCAACTCAGACGATAACGAGCCATACTCTAGAATCAATAGAAAATCAATATCCTGCAAAAACAGAAAAAAGACATTAAACTTTACAATAAAAATCCAGATTTTCTGTACTACTTAATGCGTGTGCGTGTTAATTAATTGATATTTCATTTTGAAAAGAGACCTTGTTTCTGTCTGTAGTCAAAGGAACAAGCTTGGTTTTTTCGTTTAAACTTAATTCCATGCATGATTTCACATAACTTCAGTCTATGCTAACATTAGTAACGTAGCTTCATTATTAGTAGAGAAAAAGAAAGCCTTTTTCCATCCCCTGAAAGAAATAGTTTGTATACCATACCAAAAGTTTTTAAGGTCACCTTGGCCAGTTAGTCTCTAGGGTCTTCTTTGAATTTTAAGTTAGCGACCCCTAAGGTTTATTTTGGAGACAATTTTTATCAAAGATCAGTTGAAGCACCATCCAGTTGTTAATACTGCATTGCTGTGTGATTATTTAAAATTAACTTATTTATAATGGGATTGCATTCTACCACATTGCCCGATTTCTACACTTACATTAATTGTTCAGTCTAATCTTGCATATTCATTCTGTATGTGACACAAAACTATCCAGCTGTGGAGCGAAAAGAATGGCGAGAAACTATAACATTATGTTGATAATCTTATTCAGCCGTAATTAATTACTGCTAATCAGACACTATGCTGTGTTTCAGACCTTAGTCCCCACTTGTTACTGATTTAGCAGGCGATATTCAGTGATCACTTAGTGCAATTAGCACAATTACTCAAAATAAGCAATGACAATATGATTTGCTTATCAGTAGTGTTTAAACCCATGTGACTGAAGAACACAGAGCAATCTTGAAACATAATTTATTTTTCAAAGGTTGTATTCATTCTCTGATAAGTGATGTCAGAATATCTTGGCACTTAGATTTCATGTTTCACATAAACTTAATTCGCCTGAAAACAGAAAAGTGATAAAAACAACAACAACAACAATTGGAAGAATTTAGTGGTATCACTTTATCTTACAGTTTTTCACTAGACTAAAATCGTTCTACACTACAATATTTTTTTTGAGTATTCCAGTAAACTATGCCACTGCAGATTAAGGGATCTAAGATATTACGAGGGGGAAAATATGCAACAAACTGTAGCCAAAAACCATAGTCACTTTTTGAGTATTTCAGTAGATATTCAAGTGTTGGTTTGTAGGGATTTGATTGGTTACAGGATTTTCATCATGAGCTGACGTTAGTTTGAGAACCATTGAAAAACCTGAGAGTACTGGACAACTGTTTCGTCCTAGTTTGGGACTCTTCAGCACTGCGCACCCACCGGGGTTCGAGCGCAGGACCTTCCGGATACAAGGCGAGCTCGTATATTACTAAGCCACTGAAACCCGATCCAATGGCCAGCCCATGAATTCTAACTTCTGCCAATTCACGACATAGCGCGACCCCAGCCAATGTCTTCGGCGAGTATTTGTCCTCACACCCGACCTGCTGCACCCTACTGGTCACGACTTGTCACTTTCAGTAGATGATTCAAGAAAGAACTTTGAATGCACCATTTATACATAACCGAATCATTGGCTATTTGGGACCTGAAACCGGACCTCTGCGTTCAAAAGCAAAAGATGCAATCACTCGCCTTACCGTGGCCAGATAACCGTTCTTGCCGTAATTA